GTAGAAGAGGAGATTGAGGGGGGGACATGATGGCTCTCTTTAAATATCTGAAAGGCTCTCATTTGGAGGAGGGCCAGGAGCTGTTCCAGTAGGCAGCAGAGGAGAGGACCCGAAGCAACGGGTTTGAATTACACGCAGAAAGGTATCGGCTGGATATTAGGAAACACTTTTTCACGGTCAGAGTGGTTCAAAGGTGGAATCAGCTGCCTGGGGAGGGGGTTGGCTCCCCTTCACTGGCAGCTTTCAAGAAGAGGCTGGACGAATATTTGTCAGAGATGCTTTAGGCTGGTCCTGCATTGGGCAGGGGGTTGGGCTAGATGGTCAGTATGACCCCTTCCAACTCTATGATTCTATGATAATTATAGTTATGTAAGGGTGCTGAGAATTCAGTGCCAGATGAGCATGACTCCCCCTTCGTTCATGGTATCTCCTCTTCCTAGAACTTCAGTTCTCCAAGGAGAGGGAATGACCACACAAGTTTCTTGTGGAGACATGCCCTTAAGTTAATACTTACAAGGAAGAATACAATTCCTGACCTGAAGAACATAGATAGGCCAGAGGGGAATTTTGAACTTGATCACACTTCAGCAAACCCTGAAGTTTCTGGAGTAAACAAAGTGTCAAATCAGCCAAAAATGTTTGGACTTCCCTAGAATCAATGGGGTGTTAGCCAATATAACCGGAACAAACTTTCTGCTGATGGTTGTGAGAAACTGCTTTAGGTGAAGGTCCACAAATGCTGCAAAGACGCCTTAAGCCCTCCACCCAAGTCCCCTGGAAGTGAACGGCAGCTGTGAATGGCTACAGGAGAAATGGTTGGTGATGAAGGCTTGCACTGGCAACTTGGGGTGGCAGAGGTGCCCTGACAGCATGGAGTGAAACTTCCCCAGAGACATTATCCTGACACTTGGGGTTGTTTAGAAGTCTCGCCCTGTGTGTCATTAGAGTGTCACTCTGGAGAGCAGCAGGCCAGCCCTCCCTTGGAACAGCAGGTAGAACAGGAAAAGCAGAGCTGTCTCCAGGAAGCCAGAAATAATGGGCCACCTCATCTTCCTGCTACTTATTTGAGTCATGTCATTTTATTTATTTATTACTTTCTCACTGAAAATCAAGGTGGATTACAGATGGGGGGGGGAGGGTAATCATACAGTTTTAAAAAAGGTAAAGGTTCCCTTGCTCGAAAGCCAGTTGAGTCCGACTCTAGGGTTGCGGTGCTCATCTCTGTTTCAAACCTGAAGAGCCAGCGCTGTCCGAAGACATTTCCATGGTCATGTGGCCAGCATGACTAACCACCAAGGCGCACGGAATGCTGTTTCCTTCCCACCAAAGCGGTACCTATTGATCTACTTGCAATGTCTTGCTTTCGAACTGCTAGGTTGGCAGGAGCTGGAACTAGAGATGGGAGCTCACTCCGTCATGCGGCACACTCGGGTCTCGAACTGCTGAACTACCGGCCTTCCACAGCCTGCAGTTCGGCATCTTAACCACTTGAGCCACCGCATCTCCTAATCATACAGTAGAGGACATCAAATAAACAAAGCAATGGGACCAGGAATACAAAACTGTACAATGCAAACAACAGTGTGATCATACTGTATTAATATAGACAGTAAACAAGGCAAAAGAAGAGTGCAAGAGGACTGGTAATGCCAAATTAGATGAGAGTGCTGCTGGCTTTAAGTGGTCCCTTGATTAGAATGGGAATCAGCCCTTGGAAGGCTAAGAGCCACAGCCCAAGGGTGGGTACCAGGATGACTCGAGTATAAGGTTGCCAGCCCAACCACTCGCCCCCTGCGGCGAAAGAAATTTTTTGAGAAATAGCCATTAAGCCAAGAGGGTGATGTCACTTCTAGAGAAAACATCGTGCTTCCAGAAATTCCTGAAGGGAACTGCTGCCCCATTTCCCCACCCCCTTGTCTCTAGTTGGGAGTAGTGAATTGCTGCCTTCATGGCTCTAAAATCTTCAGAGGAGTCCACAGCCTACTTAAAATTGACAGTCCATTCAGGTGCGTACCCAAGAATTGCAGAGAGAGCTCAGAAGCCCAAAATGTGAAAATGCAAAATCCAAAACCTTGGTAGAAAATGCCTTTGTATCACGAACAGAAATGTTGCATGAATGTTTTGTAGATTCCTCTTGGGAGGAGATCAGCAATATCATTATTTATTTACATGTTTATACCCTGCTGTTCCCCACCACCACCATGGGGACCCAAAGCAGTTTACAACATCTGTTCCCTGTTTTAGCCCCCGAACAAACACCCTGCGA